ATAATATGAAAAAAACAAATGCATTAAAGCTAAAGATGTTAAATTGTAAATGTTTTTCCTAAAGCCATATTGATTATATTGAAAAAATAAACATGACTTATTAAAAAGGATCTAAAATACGTTTATAAACAACTCTTTAAAATAACTTAGAAACAAGTACGATCGTACTATAGTGGACCAGGAACTGCGTGACTCAGTTTCGATCTTGTGCACATCGTTAAATGTTCAAAACCTTCGAGACTCAGCTTTGACTTGATAAACAAATAACTAGACACTTGTAAAACTAATTATTCTCAAGGCAGCGTAGACTGAGTTCCCTAAATGTTTTGCTTTAATTTGGTCATGCATGCAAGATATACTTTATCCGGGCAAAAATATGTGTTTGATCTAGTCATGCCGTGTGTAAATGAATGTAGATCTGGACAAAGCATAGATAACTAAATGCGCAGTTTTCAAAAGTATATACTCGCATTCGAATTAGATAGATTAAGACTAAACATACCGTGCCTAAATTTAACTTTTGTCGTAACAAATTGTACGTGCCGTGTAAACGGGACTTAAGTTAAGGTAACGATTTATTTGAATTGTTGCTATAGGTTAATCAGTTAATGCAGATCATTTCGCTTGGTAATGGCTTCATAACTGCATGCTTGTGCTAAAAACATGTCATGTCTTTGTTTTTATGGATAGGAGTACTGTATAGTACTCCTCTGCGCTTTGACTGAAACTAAGCCAGCGTGTTAAATTAGTCAACTTATGTCTTAACGCTTATAATTAATCGTTATAATTAGTCGTCCACATTCTTGAGAAGCTTTAGACTATTGTGATTGTGTTCACAACGAACAATAGAAAAGACAATGTCTTTCTTATCATTTGCGTTTGCTGATATATTTGCTGAATATTAATGATATGTATATATTAATTGTACCAATGCAGTAAAACATTGCTCATATTTCGCTTCTAAAGTCAAAAATGAAAAATCAAACACCGTCAATCGATGCGGAATATTGATTAGAATAACTATGTCAAGTTTCATTCCGATCGGACAAGTAACGACGGAGCCTTAGGGTTTTTTCAAAGAGCGTCGCCCCCTAACAACAACAAGAAGAAGATTAGCAGCGATTGGGGACCAGTTCCTGGTCCAAAAATGCCAAAGTGAACGGAACAGGCTTTTCACCGCTTTTGACTAGTTTTTCATCACTCTCGCACAGAAAAACTTTATCGTTTACCGAACACATGCAGTTTCTGTGATTCCGTCCTGAACTGAGACTGCTGTATCTCGTCAATTTTTATCAAACATTTTGAAAGTGATGACGAGTGTGAGTATTGATAGTTGCCATGCTTTTGTTTTTCTAAAGCTTTTAATGTATCCTAATTACTCTGAGAGGAGAACCTTTGGGTACTTTTAACAGTTAGCCTAACAACTTAAACATTTATAATGATTAGGATAAATTTTTCTTTAAAGTCACTATTTTCTTTGTCACTATTTGCGATCGATCAATTAATTCTTTAGCTCGCTAATTTGACTATTCATCATTGTTCATACCTGAAGCAATTATTTACTGCAAAGCCTCTGTCTAGCATAACTACATGTATTTTAATAATGATTATTACATTCGTAGTACCTTGTTGTAATACCCTGATGTAATAATACCTTGTTGTCATGCGTTGGGATTTCCGTAAAATATATCGCACGTAAGGCTGCACTAGCTCTCTGTGTATTTCTTATATCATTATGTTGCATTCATGCTGTTTTCATCCAGAAATCAACACCACCATGATTGCATTTTACTACGGGGAGAAAAGTCCCAACACAATTCTCTATGACTACGGTTGGGCGATATTTCGATATTTTGATTTATCGCGATATTTTCAATCACGATTATCGTATCGAAGGTAGAAACATGATCGAAATTATATCGAAATTATCTTCATGGTCGTGGACTGTCGCCAGGATATTGCTTCGTATGTGTATATAGCTTTTATAACAATCCTAAAAAATTTCTTCAATTTCTAGAAACTGTAGTTTTTAAAAGAATTAAGACTATTTCCTGAATCAAATACGAATTTAATACGATATATTGGTTAATTCCTGGTGTTATGCGGTCACCAATATACCATTCTAACATTTATACATCCCAATAATCCCTACTTATAACTGGTAATCTAGTAATTCTTGGTAAACTTGTAATCCTTGGTAATCTAGTTGAATAAGATGTTTGTGTGATGTTACTCTGAGTGTATATATTTTATGAAATCTGCTGTGTTGGTGTAATGTACTCAGGTGAATAAGATGTTTGTGTGATGTTACTCTGAGTGTATATACACTCAGAGTAACATCACACAAACATCTTATTCACCTGAGTACATTACACCAACACAGCAGATTTCATGATTATTAGATTACACTGATATCGAAGGAACTAGACTCAGTTCCGAAATATCACATACTCGAACCGTCCTGACCGCGTAGCTCAGTTGGAAGAGCATTGGGCTAGTATTCCAAAGGTCGTAGGTTCGAATCCTGCCGTGGCCAGGCATATTTTTCAAGCCTGCCCGGTGTGGATATACACTCAGAGTAACATCACACAAACATCTTATTCACCTGAGTACATTACACCAACACAGCAGATTTCATGATTATTAGATTACACTGATATCGAAGGAACTAGACTCAGTTCCGAAATATCGCTTACTCGAACCGTCCTGACCGCGTAGCTCAGTTGGAAGAGCATTGGGCTAGTATTCCAAAGGTCGTAGGTTCGAATCCCGCCGTGGCCAGGCATATTTTTCAAGCCTGCCCGGTGTGGATATACACTCAGAGTAACATCACACAAACATCTTATTCACCTGAGTACATTACACCAACACAGCAGATTTCATAAATATTAGATTACACTGATATCGAAGGAACTAGACTCAGTTCCGAAATATCGCTTACTCGAACCGTCCTGACCGCGTAGCTCAGTTGGAAGAGCATTGGGCTAGTATTCCAAAGGTCGTAGGTTCGAATCCCGCCGTGGCCAGGCATACTTTTCAAGCCTGCCCGGTGTGGATATACACTCAGAGTAACATCACACAAAGCTTACTATGCTTTCATATTAATTAGAACTAAAAAATGTAGTCATTGTTTTTATTGCGTTTATCGCGATATTATCGAATACCGTGATAATTTCCTTGACAATAATCGCGAGTTGATTTTTTAATATCGCCCAACCCTATCTATGAGCTTGCATATGTTAACTAAAATGAAATTATAAAGCATTTTAGACCAGCGGCTGAAACTCCAGCTGGAATTCACCGTGTTCGTAGTCAATCAATTGTGTCTCCGGAATAACGAGTTATTTTAGGGTGATGAAACAGGTTTATTTTATCCATTTTGCCGCATCCGCATTTTATCCATTTTGTCCGCATCCGCATTTTGTCCGTCCGTCCGCCTGGCCGTCCGCGTGTCCGTTCGTCCGTATCCGCATTTTATCCCAACCCAAGTAAATTGTTGTAGTTTGCATCGCAAAATTTTGAGGATACTATGTGCCAGATACAATAGCCTTCAACAGTCTGTCTAACACCACTGCAGAACATATAATGCTTCCAAAAAAGTCTCTTCCCCGACAAAAGCTAATTATTCCCGACGGGGCTAGGGGGGCTGTAGCCCTCCCCTCTCTGGCGCCACCCTTGTTCAGTATCCTAGCCAAACATATTTAACAATTATTCACCGAAGTGGAGGTGAATGTTGCAAGGATATTCACCGAGACTTGGAGCGTTCGCATATTCCTTAACGGTTTCATACTATATATATATTCTTGGCCGATATCAAAGCAATAAATTCTAACATTTTTCGGCTTTCCAAGACAGCTTGTCATGGATAAATCACGCGCATAACAAGTCTTTGGCGCCCTCTTAACCAAATATTTTAATTCGATCCTTTCCTCGTATTAAAATAATGTACAACCAAAATATATACTGTACGATGGCCAACAGATTCTTATATTACGTATAATATCATACCTAATATATATATATATATATATATATATATATATATATATTTATATATATGTTTGGAAATTGATAATTTTGTAATTAAAAGTGATATTTTTAGGCGATTTTTCATTTGTAAGAATATTCTTAAAAAATTATCGTGTTACCATGACAACTACTTTAGATACCTCATTTTCGGAAAATACAATGGTTTTGTCAGCAAGGCGAGGGTTTCTGCATGCATGTATTTTCTAGTAAATATGTTGTGAGTGTTCTACTACGCCGTTTGCATAATAGATATACAAGCGGGAAATTTAGTAAAAGACAATGGATTCGTTTGTCTACTAATTTTCCCTTGCATGCTAGATGAGGGAAAATGAGTAGACAAAGAAATCTTTGTTTTCTTCTAAATTTCCAGGGCAAAGGCGTATGCAATGGGGAATGAGGAAAATGCGGGATTTACATTCCCTTTGAGAACAATGAAAATCGAGGCCATCATGATATTATCCAAAATATGGTCACATTATGAATTTTAAGCATAAAATGGAAACGATTTTTTACAAATATTGTGGATTATCACAGATACATCTTCAGTCTGGTACGCATATCGTCAAATCTCGGCCAGAAGCTTTTCCTTTTTACTTTGCCTTTTCTCCCGCGCCCGCGCACCGAATTTTAGCGGTTATTTTCAATTTTAACCTAGCGCAATGACGAACTTCTCTCTAAGCCTCTGCGGAAGAGAGAGATAGGTGATTGTAAACCACTCTGATATCTCGTTGTAACTCACAAACTCGACTCTCTATTGTGATGTCATAGAGTCGACACCTATTGTGTTATGTCGACTATTGCAAAGTGAATATGGCCAACTTCTATCGTGATGTCATGCATACATAATGAGTGCGCCACCTCATTTTATGCTAAGATGAAGAGCCAACTCATGGGCCTGCTTGCTTATATTACAGATTAATTGAATAACTTAAATTAAACTGAAAGCTATCCGTTACAAATAACATGTTTCAATTTTAGGTGATTCAAGCGTCAGTCAAGTTGTTACAGAAATTTGGTATTCAGTGTTACTGAGCGAGAAATCTTACAACTACCTCTGTGCATCACTTCGAGGACTTCTTAGCTTGAAAGGTGCTGAGGATATAAAGTCTGCAACAGGTGGACTAATCAGTTTGAATGAAAACCATATCGAAGAGTTTAAAGACGTCTGGAAAGGATGGCTCGACCTGCAGGTTGCAGGTACATCAAGCATTCGAAAGCAGCAATGAACGCAGATTCCGGGAGTTTCGTTGGCAAAATCAATTATTACACATGTATTCCTCAGGAGCATGTTCGTACTGCGCAGAAGTATATGGAAGACGGCATCTTCCAGCGCACACAGAACTGCTCATATGCCGAAAATCCCACGCTAACAGGTCCTCATTACCTCATCAAAAATGGACCATTTACCTATTGTTGCCCTAGCTACGTTTTCCCATTTATTGGTTGGGATTATGCTGAAGTGAAGAAATTCAAGCATACTAAATCACTTGTCATCATGTATGGCAACTACATCGAGTCTAAGTTAGACAGTTTCAAGGAAAAGCTTTCTTCCAAACAAGTAAGCTTTGACATTATTTTGGGAGACTGTATGAAAATTGAGGAATTTCCAAACAAGGAAATGACATATGATCGTATTTTGACATCTAATCTAATGGACTATATTCTTCTTCCAGAATTGTTAAGGTATAGTAATTTGAAGATTTAAATTATATCATTTAACGATAACGTTTGTGTTCGAAAATAGCTATTGAAATACCTAGAGACAGCATTTCTTCGAAATCAATTATCTGATTATCGTTAGCCCAGAACCGAATTCTATTCTTACCATATGAAGCATCATCTAGGCCCTTTACCAGAATTATTTATAAAAACCAAACAATTATATTTTAGTAGTTTCCATGCAGTAAACTACATATTTTTGACTGCATAAATCCCGTTCCAACCAGGATTTATATGAGACTGCAGTTCTCATGGTCTTTTTATGCATGAGGACTCAGACATATTCGATCTCCAGAATAACCAATTGTGAAAGAGATGTGGCGTATACTGTTTCACCCTAATTCAAGATTTTCATTATCGGCAGATCCGTAAACAAATCGAAAAAATGTCTGGCCTAACTATTAAAGACAAAATACCACGAAAAGGGATATTCTTAAGATGTTGATGGATTTCTTGACAGACACAATCTCAAAAAATGGTCGGTTTGTCAATGATTAGTTCCCAGATAATTGCCTTGTCTTGTTTGCGCAGTGTTCTGGATTGCATTATCAATTTTGATAATGAATTCCATCTAGTACTTCAGTTCACTTGGGAGATCAGTGAGTGTTAGATTATTTATAATAATTACATCTGTGTTTTTATCAGACCTACTAACTCCCACAGCTATATTTCTTTTTGTCACCTCAAACACAGAAAAACCGGCTCAATCCTTTACTCACAATTCCACCGTCTTCGCTCCTTTGAGTATGAAGATTTTCATCCCAAAGCTTTGGAAATGAAATCTTTTCACTAAAATGTCCATACTTTTACCTTTTTAACACTTTTATTCATATGTGTCGGACACTTTAGCCAACATTTTAGCCCAAAATGCACAATTTTGAACATAAATTTTACTGACCTGACTGACATCTTCCAATTACTCAAATGAACACCTAGTTTCTTTTTTAACACAAGTGCATTTAAAATAAACGTTAAAGAACGTAAAATCTTAAAGCCTGCCCCGGTAGTTTTACGTACCCCGAAGGATCTAAGCAGATATATTCATCTTTGATGTTTGTTGGTGCCTGACATGATAATGTATTGTTTTGATTTTGCTCTAGTTCCGTTTATTTCATTTGTTACTTTTCTTTATGTGACTGCCTTTGTGGTATAAAAGCAGTATGTATAAACTCTCCTAGTGCTAGTGCTGGCGAAGGCTGTTGATTGAAACGTCGAGATAATCCCGCACGCGGCTATTTTTCCTCGTTTTGATCGTTTCTGGCTGTCGTGAAATCCAACGTAAGCTTTCTGTATATTGTACGCCACGGCAAACGTTGCATCCCCAAGTGTTTAGATTTTATAAAAGGGATATTTTTCTTTTTAGAATTTGCTATGGCAAGTTAAATCGAGATAATCCTTACGCAACTTTGATAACAGAGTCCCTAAACTGGGTGGATTTCTGTCCAGACGCAGATGTGAGTATGATGTCATTTACCACCCCTGCACAGACAACACACTTCAGCAGAATTGTAATGCAGGACACAAATAACCCAGTCTTTGCCAACGATGGCGGAACAACCTTCAGAGAATACTTGGATAATTCTCGAGAATTAGAAGATTACCTTCGTGCCTTATTTTACGTGTATCACAAGCGACAAGAAACGTCCAATTCATCAAAATTGCCAATTTTGAAAGAACTGGGCAATGAATTTCAGCTACGGCTGCGCGACGGCTTCCGTAATGAAAATAGAATTGTTTTCTTCAAGCAAGCGGTTAATCGACGAAGAGTAACAATGATAACTGGTCTTGAACGATACATGGAGTGGGTAGCTACATAGATAAAATGACTAGTGAAAATCCTTAATATGAAGTGAACATAAGTGAAACTGATGCATAAAGGCAAAATTATTCACTACGAAAACGTTTGAATTGCATTAATTTATACGTATAGCTATTTTTAAGGACTTGATTATGATTATATATATATATAATCCCAGATGTTCATCTACATATTTATCTCAAACTTTAACGCTCGACTTTCAAGGTGGATTTAGCGAGGGACAAAACTTAGTCGACATAATTATAGTTATTGTATTTTCATGCGCTGCTTTGAAATTTCACTGTATAGTCACGACGTTTATATGCCATCCAGCAAGTTAAAGAGATACTGATATCGTTAAATTGAAGTTGTCAAACACATGCAGGAAATTGTAAATGTCATTCTGTTGACTGGTTTCTTTTACGATGGTTTTGAACCCAAACAATAACAAAAGTACAATGACTAAATTCTTTATTACCTCGGGTCGGTACGACAGCGAGGTCATAAATTCGGCTCCAATTTTTTTCTCCAATTTTTTTGTCGAACCGCGCGCGTAGTCGAAGAGCCTGCGGAGGAGACGACAACTTCCGGTAAATAAGTGAACTTTCGGGAAATTTCAAGCATCCGCCAAAGCGAAACGGAACCCGAAGCTGTCCTTGCACAAAATGCGTCAAAATTGTTGATTTAAAACCAGAAGATGTGATAATTTTGACATACATGTTTAGCTGGATAACTATTCTCGAGTATATGTTGATATAATGTACAATACTTCATACGCATAGCATGGGAATACCGCGGCCAACTTTCACTTGTTTGATACTGCTAAGCATTTTATGGATGGTTCTTACTGTAACTGGTAGACACCTTTTTTCCAACTGTCCACTCATTACATTCTTCGACTGTGGTACAACTATTACTAATGATGGATATGCAGTTATATGCACCCAATTATATTTTTGGTACTTTGATATATTTTAAAAATATCTGAATTGACTGTCGTTCTGCCATGTGCATGTCAACATATAGACTGATAACATTGTCTGTTAGTGTTACTAATTACAAGATGAAGTAGTGAAGTATCTATGTATATCATTCACTCGTCCACAAAATATCCCAAATAATGAATAAATACAGTTAAATAATTGCGTCAGTAAATTCTCTAAATTGTTCCTGTATTTAACTATTATCAATAAAATGTTAAAACGGAGCTTTGATTGACTGATTCACCATTTATACTAGTGAACTATTAAACTATCGTGACTTACACGAGTTTTGCATATTTACCAGACGATGCCCTATCCACCGACCCGAGGTTAACACCGAGCGGGCGTCTTGTGTTATTATAAATTATTTGAGGTTTTGTCCAAAATCAATCATATATAAGCCCAATCAAAGATATTTAAGACTTGGTGCGTGACACTAACTTCATCTTTGCATTAGGCAACTTGCATGATGACGTTTTAAATCGCACGAACAGTAACATCCAATCGTATATACCCTTGCATTCCCGACCGACAAGGCCTTAGGCGAGAGAAATATCATGACGTTGCATCAAATTGCTGTCTGGTTTAGATTATTCTATTATCCCATACCTGTGTTAAAAGCGGTTTTCTGATTGGTTTAGAGCAGGTGAGCTTGTCGTCGAGCTCACCTGCTTTTTTCCCGAACTCACCTGCCTTTCGCCGGAACTAACCTGCTTATAAACCAATCAGAGTCGCCCATACATCATGATGTTTTGTTTCAGCAGCGCGAAATCCTGCTGCAGGGGAGTGCAAGCAAGAGCAAGGAAAGTAATATATAGTATTAAATATGAAAACAACAAAGCGTTTTGAAGCTATATCCGACGAGCAATTAAAACAAAGACAGCATAATCTTGAAAACAAAAATACAACAGACAATGAAAAGAAAGCAGAACGTTTATTCAAGCAATATCTTGCAGAAATTGGCGAAGATTTAAATTTTTGCGAGTTCAGCGAGGAAAAACTCGATAAACATCTTGCCATGTTTTGGTTCGCTGCCAGAACAAAGAATGGGCAAAAATATAAAATTAGATCTCTTGAAACTACCAGATACAGTTTGAACAGAGTTCTGAAACGTTATGGCCACAAATTCGATATATCAAAGAAGGAATGCACGGCATTTACTGCAAGCATCAAAGCAAAGCCTATGAAGATGCAACGACTGAACTGAAACAAGAAGGAAAGGGATTCACCAAGAATCACGCTGCTGTCAGTCCTGAAGGTAAAATATAGCAAGAAATTATAATTACTACATTTATGTAAACGTTGTGCATTCCTTTTTATATGCAACAACAGAAATTCCCTCAATCCTAATTTCAAACTTTGATATTACTTCAGACTTGTACGACATACCGTATATCATAGTCGACATCTTGACCCTGATGCAGGACCAAGAGCTCTTCAAAACAAAGTTCAGTGGGACATACGATTCTATTTTGCACGCAGAGGATCAGAGAACATGTACAATATGACGAAGACAACATTTACCATCAAAATGGACGAAAAGACAGGTATGCAGTTTGTTGTAAAAGTTGAAGACGAAGCTACAAAAAACCACAAGCAAAACGAACATGACATTGTAACTGGCTATATGCCTGCTATAAACGATGACAAGTACTGCCCAGTAAAAAACTTTATTAAATACACTCAAGCCCTGACCCAGACTCTGAAAAGTTGTGGCAGACCCCTAAATACAATGTATTTTCCACTATTGGCCAAGAGATATGGTATGGCCCAAGAAATGTTGGCCACAACAAACTGGACAGGTTCATGTCTAACCTTGCAAAAAACTGTACATTGAAAGACAAAGGCTACACTAACCACAGCCTTCGAGCATCTGGACTAACAACCTTGAAACGCAACGACTATAATGATAAGCAAATCATGTCCGTTACCGGGCCACAGAAGCAGTGCAAGTTTGAACATATATCAGAAAGTTGCATCAGATGAAAAACTTAGAATGGGTTTAACACTTGGCTATGCACTTACTGGAGATCCTAGCTGTCTGACGAAAGAAAACGAGGTAGCCTAGCTGTGTTTACCAGCAGCATCCTCGTGACAACCACCCCAAACAATCATCCAATGCAACCCACCTTTCTTTCCGTACCACTAACACTGGAAACCAAATTGTGCCTCTTCACAAGCGACAAGCTCCCCGTTTCACAGAAACTGCAACAATTACCAAACGACCATGTCTGCACAATATCCAGATAGCAAACTCTTCAAGTTCTATAACAGCAAAGCCTCGAGCAAAGCAGTCTTCAACATATGATGACTCAATGTTCGAAGAAAACAATGCAGTTAGCGATGCAGAGTTGCTGAAAGCAGTAAATGAGTACGAAGAAGCTACAATATCAGAGAATGTTCAATTCATGCAGTCATCTCAGACGGACTCAAACAAAATACAGTGCATTTCCAGGCAAATATTGAAGAAGATGAGCCCACCTACATTCAGTACTAATTGCAAAATTGAAGGTTGAATTATTAACATTCATAAAGATTGACAACTTGACTGCAGTAGTGACTGGTGTTGAATGTTGTAAATGACATTTTTGCAGTAAAACATTTTAATATTGATGATCTTAATACTGTTATATAATAACATGACTGTTGATATGACATTTTATTAATGCTAATTTAATTAACATCTAATAGTTGCATAATTGAATAATGTTGTGTGTCATTTCATTAATGTTAATTTAATATGAATATTTCACTATTGTTGCTCTTCTAAGATATTGTATGTTATGATACTGATAAATTATTAATTATATTTATACAAATGGTGGGTGATGCCAATAATTTTGTTCTGTTTTAAGCTTAAATTTGCTTTTCTATATCTAAAAAATGCACGGCGCCACCTTAAGTAAAAAAAAACAATAACAAATATGGCGGACAAGATTTAGCCGATAAACCTAAACTTTAAAGAACTTTTTTCGGTGACTAGCCTACTGAGACTGAAGAAAAACCAAAGAAAATAATGCAATAAAGGTAATCTAGAAGTAGATAAAGAAGTATGAAGAGCCCAGTGTTTTTTTTGGCCGGGAAAATGTTGACAAAACATCGACGAATATATCGCGAAGAGCTAGTAGCTATACAAATGTGTGTATGGGATCAAAACCAAACGTACTTGCAGGTTCGGTGAGTCCGGGATTGGAGGCACCTCGGGAAACTTCCAGCCACCCTCCGTGCGTCCAATCCCGGACTCACCGAACCTGAAAGTACGTTTGTTATATCGTTTGCGAGTATTCGCTAATTTATCTTTGTTTAGTCAGTATTGGAGGAACGCACTAAGTTTGGTACTTCAGATGGTAACCTTGAGAATTCTTGGAAGGACATCTATTATTAATTCAATTTTCGCAACATATAGTGCTAATTTGCATGGTAATCACCTATTACCAAAACCATGGATGCTTCCTCTTGCGCGAACAAACGTGTCATGTTTTTGTGTCAAAATATTTAGGAATGCCAGTATATAGTCCTACGCCAATTTTTGTTAAAACGTGAAACTATTTTTAGCTATATCAACATAATTTCTCGCGGATCAAATGGGAGGTCACTATTCCCACAATAGCGTAGACTTGCTCCAAGTCTCTCTTTCATTGTCATATCGATCCACTATAGTGTACATTACATGACGTAGTACGGAGGGGCGGAGCGAGAAAGAGAGACTTGTCAACTTCGGAAAATCTCGGTTCACAACTGAACCGAAAATGCAAGACTTGCATTAATTGTTTTCTGTCAGTGTTTATATGTATTGATCTAGCACAGTGTTAATAACATGAGTTCCATTATAGTAAATAATACAGAAAGAAATTGAAGGAAAACAATTAAAGTAAGTCTTGCATTTTCGGTTCAGTTTTGAACCGAGATTTTCCGAAGTTGACAAGTCTCTCTTTCTCGCTCCGCCTCTCCGTGCTACGTCATGTAATGTACACTATAGTGGATCGATATGACAATGAAAGAGAGACTTGGAGCAAGTCTAACAATAGCGAGGTTCGGATTTGATAGTATGATCATCATAAATAAGACAGTATACTGATCACTAGCATCATTACCGCGTCATTTCATCACTACAGTTACAAAGAACTTTCCACGTTATGATTACGAAATCTGAAAAAAGTTGGGAGATCAGGCCCCAAAATCGGCACGAAATTCTTACCAAGGGAGGCTCAGCCCCCATGAGCTCCTAAGAAAGGGCAGAGCCCCCTGTGCTCACCCTCTACTACGTACACATCTGGAAATAAAAAACCTAGGTATATCTAGTTGTTTTAATTTATGTGTGCTGCATGATCTTATATTTCTAATAAGATTCAGATAAAAAGAGCAAGAATTCTCAAAGGATGGTTTAAATATATTGTATAACTGATTGAAAAAACTTTCCACATCTCCTATTAATCAACTTGGCCCATAAAGTGGCCGCCTGCAGGAATTTGAGCCCGTAATACATGGTGTTTCACTAATCCTTAAAATAAAATTACCATTGGCAGAAAATATGCTCGATGTATAAAAACATTTCAACTGAAAGTAGGATATAACATGTAATTGTATTGACCATGCGCGTGCATTATAACACCCTTTTTTAAAAACTCATTAATAATTCATGAGGAAAACACAAAGGAAATCACTACCGTGTCGGTAGTATTATATGGGATAAAAATCATGTTCATT